CTTTGTACCACATCAGGGTCATTTAACAGAGAAATGTTCAGTCTCCAGTTTTTAGAATGTTTTTCTATTTTCAAATGTATCATTACTACTGGTCTGTGGTTTGAAATCAGAATCAGAATCAAATACTTCCCAAGGGGAAATTACTTTCGTTACAACTCCAAATCTACATACAACATATTTACATCCAACATATATTATTATCAAGAACATATCTATATATATATATATATATATATATATATATATAAATACACAAGGTAAAGTGTAAAATGTACAGTTTTGAAAATGTGCAAGAAAGAAGAAAGTGCAGAAGTGGATGTCTGTGTTTGAGGTCAGATTACAGAGAGGGGGTGTCTGACTCTCTGAGGGAGGCGTTGTAGAGATTGATGACCACAGGCAGGAATGATTTCCTGTGGTGCTCTGTGGTGCATCTGGGTGAGAGGAGTCTTCTGCTGAAGGTGCTCCTCTGCTGAGCCAGTGTGTCGTAAAGAGGGTGTGCGACATTGTCCAAGATGGACTGTAGCCTGGACAGCATCCTCCTCTCTGCCACGGTCGTCAGTGTGTCCAGCTCCTCCCCTACGACATCACCGGCCCTCCTGATCAGTTTATTTAGTCTGTTGGTATCTGCGACCTTCAGCCCACTGCCCCAGCATGTGACAGCGAAGAAGATCGTACTGGCCACAACAGACTCATAAAACATCCTCAGCATCGTCCGGCAGATGTTGAAGGACCTCAGCCTCCTTAGGAAAAAGAGTCAGCTTTAGCCCTTATTGTAGACCGCCTCGGTGTTTCTGGTCCAGTCCAACTTATTATTAAAGTGCACCCCCAGGTACTTATACTCCTCAACAGTGACCACAGGGACCCCCTGGATGGAAACAGGGGTCACGGGTGTTTTCGCCCTCCTCAGATCCACTATGAGCTCCTTTGTCTTAGTCACATTGAGCTGCAGATGGTTCAGCTCACTCCAAGTGACAAAGTTGCCCACCACAGTCCTGTATTCACTGTCATCACCCTTTTCAATGCAGCCAACTTTGCTGAGTCATCAGAAAACTTCTCAAGGTGGCACGACTGCAATAGTTGAAGTCTGAGGTGAAGAGGGTGAAGAGGAAGGGAGAGAGGACAGTCCCCTGTGAGGCCCCAGTGTTGCTGACCACCCTGTCAGACACTCAGTTCTGTAGGCGTACGTACTGTGGTCTGCCCATCAGGTAATCAACAATCCAGGACACAATGGGGGCCTCCACCTGCATCGCAGCCATCTTCTCACCCAGTAGAGCCGGACAGATGGTGTTGAAAGCACTGGAGAAGTCAAAGAACATGACTCTCACAGTGCTCACCGGCTTGTCCAGATGAGTGTAGACTCTGTTCAGCAGGTAGATGATGCTGTCCTCAACTCCCAGGTGGGGCTGGTAGGTGAACTGCAGTGGATCAGTGAAGGGCCTGACCATAGGCCTTAGCTGCTCCAGGACGAGCCTCTCTAAGGTCTTCATGATGCGGGACGTCAGAGCCACTGGTCTGTAGTCTTGAGGGCCACTGGGACGCGGCGTCTTTGGCACAGGAACAAGCCAGGACGTCTTCCACAGCACAGAGACCCTCTGGAGGTGCAGGCTCAGGCTGAATACTTGACTGAGTACTCCACACAGCTGGGAGGCACAGACTTTAAGCACCCTGGGAAAAACACCGTCGGGGCCTGCAGCTTTGCCGGAGTGGAGTCTTGTCAGCTGTCTTCTCACCAGGTCAGGCGTGAAGGACACTGTAGAGGTGACAGTTGAGGGAGGGGTGAGGTCCTCAGGTTGTGGAGGACATGATGTAGTGCAGGGGAGAGGGGTTGAGTAGGTGGGTGTGAATTGAGGTGGTGAGGGGCAGACAAGGGGTCTGTAAGGAGGAGGAGCAGGGGGAGGTAAAGTGGCAGTTGTTGTTGGGCAGCCAGCAGCAGAGTCTTGTGGGGGATGGCCCGCAGTATCAGACCTATTGAAAAATAGGTTCAGTTCATTGGCCCGGTCCACATGGCCTTCCAACCCCATGCCACCTGTCTTCTGGAACCCAGTGATGGTTCTCATGCCACTCCACACATCCCTCATGTTATTTTGCTGGAGTTTTTTCTCCAGCTTTCTCCTATAATTGTCTTTTGCCTCCTTGATTTTGAGTTTGAGTACCCCCTGTACTCTTCTCACCTCATCACGGTTGCCATCTCTGAACGCCCTCTTCTTGTCATTCAGGATGGCCTTAATGTCCTTGGTGATCCAAGGTTTATTGTTAGCATAACAGGTGACAGCCTGAGCTGGGACATTGCAGTCCACACAGAAGTTGATATAGTCCGTGATGCACTCTGTGAGCCCATCAATGTCCTCCCCGTGGGGCTCACAGAGTGCAGGCCAGTCAGTCACTTCAAAGCAGCCCTGCAGTGCCTCATAAGCTTCCTCCGACCACCTCCTAACAGTCCTTGTGGCTGTAGGCTCCCTCTTCACCAGAGGTACATAGCCAGGTTTGAGGTGAAACAGGTTGTGATCTGACCTGCCCAGAGGGGGAAGAGAAGAGGAGATGTATGCATCCTTAATGTTAGCATACATCAGGTCCAGGGTCCTCTCCTCTCGGGTAGGACAGCTCACGTACTATTTGAAAGTCGGCAGAACTCTGTCCATGGTGACATGGTTAAAGTCTCCCGACATGATGATGAGTGCACTGGGGTGTTGAGTTTGAAGTTTGGAGATGGTGGTGTGTATGATGCTGCAGGCAGATGTTGGGTTTGCAGAGGGAGGGATGTACAGGACAACGATGATGACGTGCGGGACCTCTCTAGGCAGATAATATGGACTCCGTCCAACGGCCAGCGGTTCAGCATCCGGGCTACAGAGCTGTTCTTTAATGGTGATGTGACCAGGATTACACCATCTGCTGTTAACTAGAACTGCAAGCCCCCTCCTTTCCGCTTACCGCCCCTCGTTACGATCCCGGTCCACCCGGACGGTGTGGAAGCCATCGACAGAGACGTTCTGGTCTCTAATGTCCCCGTGCAGCCATGTCTCCGTGAAACATAAGACTGCACTCCCGGTACTCTGCGTGGCTCCGCGTTAACGCCGTTGGCTTGCCCATTAAGAGACCGTACATTTCCCATAGAAACAGAGGGGAGACACGGCTTAAATTGTCTCCTCTCCATAAGCCCGTCCCGTCTCGACCCTCCTCTATTCCCCCAAAGTTGCTTCCCTCCTCTGCATCCCCGGCGGGTTTTTCTCCAGAGTTCAGGTGGTACATCAGCTGGTCTGGCCACTATGCCGGCCGGCATTGGCGCAATCAGCTTTTCTCCGCAGTGAACAAGGGCAGCGTGTCCCTGTGGAAGCAGCATTGATAAAACAACACGAATAAAGCAAAAAGTTAAGAAAGTTAAAAAGCAGACTCAAAGGTTGGAGCAATGTAACAGGCAGCAAGCAGCTTTCGCGCATGGGCACTGATAGGTAGCTGTTATGCACTTTAGAGATGTAAAGTCCCTCCCCCTAAGGTGTAGGGCCATACGTCAGAAAGCCCTGATTCCTCGATCGATACCGATACCTTGATATATATATACCTCGACATGTGGCACCAGGAGCCGGGGATCGAACCAACAATCTTCCGATTAGGGGACGACCCGCTCTGCCTCTGGCACCAGGAGCCGGGGATCGAACCAACAACCTTCCGATTAGGGGACAATCCACTCTGCCTCTGCCCATGGCAAACTGAAACACTGCCATGGTCGGTGCTGAGCTACTCCTTGAAGGTGAGACAGACATCGGTGGAGAGCCGCACACTCACCATGCCACTGCAAGTGCAACAAGAACCCCATGAAAAAAATGCCAATAAGAATAATTTAGTAATCTAGCAAAAGATGTACAGACAAGGAAAATTAACACTTGGCAGAATACAGTTCCTTCAAATAACTCAAGCAAAGCAAACACTGCAGGGCACTTTCGAGATAGTGGTATTGTGTGCAGTTTTTGTGTTTAAACCCCCAGCTGCTATATAGTGTTATAAATGTAAACTGATGGCTATGATGCTGGATGTTACAGGGACTGTGATAAATACTATACATAAAACTTAGTACTGTGTCTTACTGTGTGAAACCAAAAGAAGGAGTAGTTTCTTGCGCCTAAATCTAAGGAAGTAGTTTTTTTGTGCCTACACCCAAGGAAGTAGTTTTTTGTTCCTATAACTACGGCACTAGTTTTTCTGCCTATAATTAAGGAAGTAATTTTATGTGCCTATGCCTAAGGAAGTAGTTCTTTGTGCTTACATCTGAGGAAGTACTTCTTGTAAATACGCCTAAGGAGGTAGTTTTTGTACCAACACCTAAGGAAGAAGTTTTTGTGCCATAAACCTAAGGAAGTAGTTTTTCTGTCTACGCATAAGTAGGGCGATCCAAATCGCAGTAAAATGTGTGACAAACCAGCATTAAAATGAGGTACTGCAGTGCTTAAGAGATGCCCTCTGCTCACAAATCTTGTTCTCCAGATTTAAGAAAACATGTTTGTTTGGTACAGACCATCCAAAATAATCACATCATCATGATTTTAATAGTTTCATCAGTAAAAATTACATTTGTGAGGCAAAAATAATCATTACCACTATCATATCATATATGATCATATCGCAATATCTGTCAAAATAATTAGATTATGATGTTTTGACCTTATTGTGCCTTTTAAGCCTACAGCCGAAGAAGGAGTTTTTGTGCCTAAATTTGTTACCAAAATAGAGATGAGGGAAGAGAGGGAAATAAAAGAGTGGAAGGAAGTGACAGGTAAAGGAGTGAAAATAGACAGGATGAATAGATAAGTGCTTTTACTTTCATGCTAAATGAAAGTGTGGGAGATGAAGCAGAGAGGAAGATGGAGGTAGACAACAGTGAGGAGGAGAAGGGGGGCGTGATTGTTTCTAGAGCTTTGGAGGTTTCAAATTTCTTTTCTTTCGATTCTCTGCTCACGTGGTAAATGATTCTCTTCCTTTCTTTCCCTGTTTCTTATTTTCTCCAGACCTGATCTTTCTGCAGATCGGCCCATTCCAGCCAAGCCCCGGCATGTTGTTGGCGACTGCTACCGACAGGAATACTGTAGTTGAGAAAGCAACAAAGAAGACAAGAGAAGAAAGTGAAGCAAAGGATGGTGAAAGTAGGTAAGCATAGCTGAATGTGTTCTTCATTTAAAAGATTGAAGGAAGAGAGGAGGGATCTCCAATTTCTGCTCTCTTTTTGTTCAGTTTCTTATGAAGGAGACACAGTTGAGTGTGTGTGTGTGTGTGTGTGTGTATGTCTACAGCTGAAGCCAGACTGTCTGTGGGGTGTGACCACAGGATGAAGAACTGTATATGTGTCTTTCTGTGTGTGTGTGTGTGTGTGTGTGTGTGTGTGTGTGTGTGTGTGTGTGTGTGTGTCTCAGAAAGCTCTCCACACTTCTTAATGTAAACAGCACACATTTCTTTACACTCAAAGAATTATGTAGAGAGGAAATATTTTTAGACTCCAGTGGCAAAATGGACCGTCTGTGACATTCAAAACATGTTTGATGTTTATGAGCCCACAGTGTTTACAACCAGATTTTAGTACCATGGATTGACATGGAAGCTCCAGTTTTCTTGTAAGAACTACAGGGATTTTAGGTAATCAGTCAAGTCAAGTCCCCAAAGTTCTGAAAGATGAGATTTTTAGAACTTGAGTGTAAATATTGTCTAAATAATTCTGTACACAAGATATGTTTCTTGTGTGCACAAGTTAACAATGTAACATTGTAAACATTGAGTGATCTGTATTTCTCCCCTCAATCATTCTTCTCCATTTTCTTTTCTTCTTCTTTTTAAATTTTCAGCCTAATGTTGCAATATTGTTATATTTAGAAAAATATGGGAGTGAGACTGACCCTCAGCTGTGTATCCGTGGCAGCTGGCAGGTTGCATGTTGAAGAATCAGAGAGCCACACATCCAGAGGAATAAATAGGACACAGGGAAGTAGAATACACAACACGGTTTCTTCTTTGGAGGATTAATGTGACGTATTGGTTAGCTCACCAATAATACAAATTATATTATTAGTACCTGTATTTGTCAATAAAGAGTGATGGCAGCTTCCAAACCTGTAATTATAATTTTGGTGGTGGGTGGGGGTACTGGCTTGGTTATATTTGATCAGTGACAACATTCATGAAAAATTAACTGTTTTCTGAAGGATGGAACATGAGGAAAAGGAGCTGTGAAGTGCACATATGATGATGCAATGTGCTGATGGGACATTAGTCAAACAGGAGCCTTTTTACCAGGACACACTCTATGTGCTGACTGTATTAGCTCCGTGTACTAGTTAAGGGTGCTCCAGTCAGGGTTTTTGAAGCCCATCATCAATCACCAGAAGCAGTATTGGCCGATACGGATCACCGGTCACTGGGTCCATTTGAAGCTATATGTTTATATTCAAATTGATTAATTATTAAATTATGAATTGACAACTGTGTATTTCTTGGCAAGCAACATGTTGAACATGAAATAACTTTCAGCCTGTTCTTGGGAGCAGCTTAGAGGTTAAGTGTGGATGGTATATTTCTATTTTATAGCTTATTTCTTATTTCACCATTTGAATACTTTATCTCACAAAATACTTTGTGCACTTGCTTTTTCCCTCATCTTTACCCCACACAGGTAGACACCTAAACCCTTTCACACCCACTCTCTCTGCTTGTCTCTCCATGTATCATATAGGTCAGCAGTAAGATTTATAAAGTCACACAAGAAACACAACTCGCGTTTTGAATGTTTTCACCCGGTGATTCCGTGTTCACAACAGCAGGTGAGCTGCGCATTAACGAGGATGGTTACGGTGGCCGACAAGGGCAAAAGCGCTGCAAACGGCAAAACGCTGCCAACACGGGAATGATGCAAATCCAAAAACACACAAACACATAAAACAAATCCAACAGAAAAACCCAGCAACAGAAAAATGCTGCAATCACAGAAACGAAGCAGAAACAACTTACAAACCCTCAAAACAAATGCCAAAGAAAAATGCTCCAAATACCAAAAACACACAAAACAACAAAACAACTCCAAGAGAGAAACGCTGCAAATTCGCTCGACAAAACGGAAGTGCGCAAGGCCACTAGGAGGACCCGACCTGAGGGATGGACCAGTCCTGTGGGATCAGACCCGAAAGACATGAAGAAGAAGAAGAAGAAGAAGAAGAAGAAGAAGACGAAGAAGAAGAAGAAGAAGAAAGTTGGCTAAGTTTTGGAGAGGACAGTAAAAAGGTAAGTTTTCCTTTATGTCTTTTTTAAACACTTGGCCGTAATCTTTTATAATATTATAATATTATAATTATATTATTTAACACTATTTAATATTATAAAAGAATATATTCTATATTCTTCTTCTTCATGTCTTTCGGGTCTGATCCCACAGGACTGGTCCATCCCTCAGGTCGGGTCCCCCTAGTGGCCTGGCGCACTTCCGTTTTGTCGAGCGAATTTGCAGCGTTTCTATCTGGCAGTTGTTTTGGGGTTTGTAAGTTTTGCTTCTGCTTCGTTCCTGTGATTGCAGCATTTTTCTGTTGCTGCGTTTTTCTGTTGGATTTGTTTTATGTGTTTGTGTGATTTTGGATTTGCATTATTCCTGTGTTTGCAGCGTTTTGCCGTTTGCAGCGCGTTTGCCCTTGTTGGCCACCGTACATGGTCGTTAATGACGTTGCATATTGAAATTGAAACTGTTGCGTGACCTGCTACATTCTTATAAAACATCTACAAGACAACGTCTCTCTCTCTGTTTCTCTGGAATATACTAACAGTCCCTGGCTGTTTATATACTGGCCACCCACCCAAGTAAATCTATGTGTGTCAAAGACTGAGTAACTTTGCTGTGGAATAAAATAAATGCGTCAGCTGATTTTCTGATCTGCATTTATATAGATCGACAATCAAATTACTTAAAGCTTAGTATTAGTACATCCATGGTAGTAGCTGCCACCACTAGCTTGCAGCTTAGCTGACTGTACCTGGACAGCTTGAAGTACCAGGGGAGGGTTGTTACACAAACAGGAGCTTTGGACTGGAGAAGGAGGCGAGTGGGGTCAAAATGAGCACCATAGCCTGAGTGTGGCATCTGGGCAACAGGCTCATCAGCCTCCAAGTGTCCACAGCTGTAAAAAAAGAAAGAAAGTAAGAGGGAGTGAGAGTCTGAATGCTGGCAGCTGCTCTGTGGGGAATGTAATCCATATGTGTGGTCAGTGAGAGCTACCCCAGAGAAAAAAAGAGTTGGTCCTTCCTGTAAACACGCAATTGTTTTTACCTCTCCCCCTTGTTGAAATTCCTCTCATTCTGGATTCACAAACCCTGGCTGCTTGTCAACCCTGCAGGAGAAGGGGGGGTGAGAGCAGTGGGAAGGCTCAAGTGAAATCTGAAAGTGATGGAGGCCAGGGTGATTTCAACTCAAGAGAGGCCAGTTCAGTTTACTTTAGTTGAGGAACAGGCAAGGATTAATACCACGTAATCAGGCCCAAAGATCTGCAGAGGTACAAACAGGCAGTTCAGGCTGGCAGGTAACAAAAGGGCGAGACAATCTGGCAGAGTGCCAGTGGAAATGGACTGGTATATATGCTGGGTTGAGAAGGGAAATGGGAAGTCAGGGGATGGTAAAGACAGGAAATGTTGTACTGCAATGCAATTCAATTTAATTCAATGTTATTTGTAGAGCGCCAATTCATAACAGAAGTTATCTCAGGACATTTGTCAAATGGAGCAGGTCTAGACCGAACTCCTTATAACATTATTTACAGAGACCCAATAGTACCACCATTTTTTCTGAGTTTAACATCAGAAAATTGCAGCTCATCCCGAATTTTTTGTCCTTAAGACATGTTTGTAATTTAGATAATTGATTAATTTCATCGGGCTTGATCGATCTGCATAGCAATGAAAGTAAATGGAGTGATTCCTAATAATGTTGCCTAAAGGAAGCATATATAAAGTAAATAGTATTGGTCCAAGTACAGAACCTTGTGGAACTCCATGACTAACTGTAGTATTTATGGAAGCATCATCTTCAACGTGTACAAACTGAGAACGATCTAATGAGTATGACCTAAACCAGCTTAGTGCGGTTACTTTAATGCCAATTTGATGCTCAAGTCCTAGTAAAAGAATATCATAGTCAGTGGTGTCAAATGCAGCACTAAGATCTAAGTAATACAAGTACAGAGACAAGTCCATTGTCGGAAGCAATCAAAAGGTCATTATTAACTTTAACCAGAGCTGTCTCTGTGCTGTGATGAACTCTAAATCCTGACTGAAAATCCTCAAATAAGCTGTTGTTATGTAGAAAGTCTGTTTGGCGACTACTTTCTCCAGAATCTTAGAGAGGAAGGGGAGGTTAGAAATCGATCTATAGTTGCCTAAAACCCCTGGGTCAAGAGTGGGCTTTTTAAGAAGGGGTTTAATTACAGCTACTTAAAAGGACTGTGGTACATATCCTTGGAATGGCGCCGGTGACAACGGCAGCCTGTCATGGCAGCTCCTATCATTGTTGTAGTTTTAGTGTGTTTTCAGTGTGTTTTTAGCCTGTGTTTTTTGCTATTTTTAACTGTTTTCTTACTTTCTTACTTTCTTACTACTTTGTTCACGTCGCCTAAATACTTTTTTGGCGTTTTTGAGCACTTTTAATTTTTTTGTTTGCACTGGTCTCCTTGGCAACGACGAGTTGCATTGTTTACACCCGTGACTAGATGATCGCCCTGAGGTACCCTAGCATCCTGACTGGAGAGAGACCCTCCATACCAGAGGAGCTGAGGAGACGGTGAGGCTGCAGAGCGGGGGTTAAACGGAGGATGAAGAAGAGGAGGTTTAAACCCTACAAACGTGGCTACACGAGCAGATACCGGACTCCAACGTCACCATTCCCGGCTTCCAGACGGTTCGAGCCGACAGGGACACCACCACGACCAGCATGAAGAAAGGAGGGGGACTTGCCATGCTCATGAACAACAGGTGGTGTAACGCCGGGCACGTCTGTGTGAAAGAGCGTGTCTGCAGCCTGGACATCGAGCTCGTCGCTGTCGGACTTCGTCCATGTTATCTGCCACGGGAACTTTCCAGTGTTATCGCCATCACTGTCTATATTCCTCACAGTGGTCTTCATCATC